CTATTACGAGTTCAACTTACTCGGTAAAAACGGGAGTGAAGCAATAATACAGTGACACGATAGGCTATCCTGATTCCATTGTCGCCGGCCCTGCTAACTATATACAAAGAAGTCTTGATAAGGCGTAGAAAGTGTATTCTACAAGCACCCAGAAAATATGAGGTTAACTAAGCACACAAATCGAGATTATTTATACATGATAGAAACGTCCTTGGGAGAACTACAAAAATAGCGAACTAAAATCATACATCCACCCATGACAGTCAAGGATTTTCCCAGTGGGAAAAGTAACCTCAAGGTCAACTGATCAGCCCATGCGCGAAAACACAAAATCCAAAAACTAGGACCCTTATCAAGTGAGTTCTGGGGATCTAAAGTCCCTAACAAAAAGATATTTACGTATAAAAACTTAATCATCTCTAGACACCTTAGTTGAAAGTGTTTAGTGTAAAAAATTATTTTCCTTTTACTAATTTGAATTACCGTTGTGTTTAATAGATTCATGCCTAAAGTAAACTCAGAATATATTGAAAACTAAGATGAAACGAACAAATTCAAGTAATATGAATTGATCACACTGGATTGTTTTGTGACACTACAAACGATGGAGGCTGGTGCGATGAATTTAAAAAGGAACAAATGTGCTAAAAGGATTACAAAATATATTCTGAGAGAAAAAACAACTGAAGAATGTTTTCGTTAACAGTGAAACATGCCAAAAAGAACATGTATTGTAGTATTATTCACCTCACTCAAATCAAAAGTATCAAAAGAAAGTCTATCCTAGCTCCTCACCAATCCCACAGATCTCTCAGAATATTGGAAGTTTCACTGTAAAAGTTTAAAAGAACTTTCAATTTATACTTAAGTGTATATTTTAGCACTTAATTCTAAAAACAGGCGGAAAGAATATCGATCGGATCAACAATATCGGAACTTATTCTGGAGGCATCGATGCACAGACTAGGAGTCTCATTTTTATCAGTGTTCGAGCCGAAAATGTGGATTCATTGTGTGGATGACAGATTCATCATCCAAAAATCAGCTAAGGTGGAAATGAAATTCTCGATAGAAAAGAAGTCGAATAACGAATTGTCAATATTGGATGTAACGATGATCGGAACCGACAGAGAAAAACTGTAGAATCAGGTATTTTGGAAGCTAACTTACAAAGATCAAATTCTCAAATGCAATAGCAACAGTTCAAGAATCGATAACCAAATAGATCAGTCTACCATATACAAAAGATATCAGGAGTCACAACGAGATTATTAGAGCCGTTTAGAACAGATACAGCATATTGATGTATTTATATTGACTTGGTTATTGGTAATATTTTGGGGGTTTTTCCCTAGTAAAGCAAAAACAGATCACCTACTATTCATCAAGACTTTTACAAATAGTAATATTAAAGTTAAGACTGACTATTTTATTATCGTATAGAAAATCTTACTTAGAAATGATGAAACCTATGATTAGGTTAAAACATTTACTCATCTGAACAACGGTAAACTTCAAAATTATTTAGCTTTAATATACATCATTTTAAATGGGAATGCATTTCCTTGAGAACTAATTGACTCACTGCAATTTTTCCAAGAACAATTCTCAAAATTATTTTGTCATTCTCATTGTGTTAAACAAGTCAGAAACTAAGATAAATAGATGACATTGTTTGGTAGTCACAACCTTCCAATAAACTTACTGAAATTGATAATGTTAAAAAAATTACAATTCACCGGTTTGATTGTATTTTACAAAGAAATCGTGAATCACTCATTTTTAGACCACTATTCGAAACCTGGAATAACTAGACGGCCGTTTTGGCCAAGTATGCTCATCCACGAACCCCGAGAGCGAACACTTAACCTCAAGACCATTAAGCTGGCATCCGACGGCATTAATGTCTAACTTTGATTACTCTAAGTATTTTGCACGACCACACTCAAAGGTTCTCAATTTGATTCCTAAGAGCGGAGTTCGTGGATGCGCATTGTTAAAGGTTCCATACTAGAATGAAACTGATTGTATTTATTTATTCTATATACAATCCTAAATCGTATTTCCGAATTTTTAACAACTTTTTAATCCGTGTGTTTTCAATCACTCTTCAATACAAAAAAAACTCTACCGACTAGTCGAACAAATTTTAAAAAAAAAACAGACTCTATTCCAAGTTGAAATGTCTCTTAAAAAACTTAGCAGAAATATTTTGATTTGTTCATTGAAAATTTTCATGTGTGTATGAATAAGAAGAAGAAAAAAGAATTCAATCATAAAGCAGAACAAAAAAAATAGATTAAATTTATTCAAACCACCGACAATTTATGGTGCTTAGAAAAAAAGAAAGAAAGAAAAAAAAACAGAAAACGAAAACGCACAACAATATTAAACACTCATTGAATTATTAGAATATCAAACGTTTCACTACCAAAAAATGTCTTCACTGCCTTCTTTTGATTTTTATTCAATGACTAGTCAAGGCGAGCATAACTAATCAACAACAATCATTATGCAGAAGTTGATTGGAACAATCAAAATAGAATAAAATAAAAGTTATATACACATAGTGAATTCAATGAAGAGAAGAGGAAGAAAGAGAAAGAAAAAGTCGTGAATACACGAAACTTTACTATGCATAATTTCAGTTGGTTATTGTGTGTGCTCTAAGTAAAACGACAGAAAAAAAGGGGAGAAGTGATAATCACAAACAACACACAAGGATAAAATGTATATATTGTTCAACTTATTTTTATTCTGTTAATTAATGAAAATAACTAAATTATCAGGGGAGTTGGGCTGTTTGCTTACTAACTATATATATATATATATATATATATATATATATATATATATATATATATATATATACATATATATACATATATATATATGTATATGTAAGAATGACCCTCTTACTATAGTTCAACATTTCTCTTGATATATTTCTCACTCTTGGAAATAAAACTTACACTGAAATCACAACTACATAGAATGTGTTGCAACATGCAACGATGTTGATGTCTAGCTTCAATCAGTCCACAGTTTTGCTTGTTCTCATCCATCATCTTTGGTGGGTAATGCTTCAAGTTTCTAGCACTGGTCCAAAAAATTGATCGATTCGTTCATTTTTATTAGTATTATCACGGGGAAAGCATTACAATTACAATAATAATTATTAGCCCTATCGGAATCTGTCAAGAAATGTACAATGAAGGGAATTTTTAGTTTACTTGTCCGTTAGATAAGTGTTAGTTAGAACTGGAATAGAAAATTGAGGCAACCTAGCTGTAAAAGCAGGCGAGTTAAAAAACACATTTGAGATACATTCAAAAGTGGCAATCTGATTCATGAAAGGTACCCAGTGAAGCAAAAGTATATGGAAAACTTCCAGAATAAATATACATTACTTAAGTTCGCTTCAATTCCTATCATAATAATGAAACATTTAAATTCTACTAAAATCGAAAGAGTAAAGCAAATAATAGCAATTAATGTAGCGAACGATCAAACATAAATTATATGCTTCAGAAACAAATAAATGTATGGGATAATGATGAAAGTCAAAAAAAATTGGGGAAGGATGTGGAATATATACATCACTATTACTGAAAATGATCTCTGATTCGGGAGTAGTCACCATCTGACACTATGCATAAACTTACATTTCTTCATAGTTTTATTCTATACTCCTATTATTATGCCACCAATAACGTCAGTTTATACTGCTACTTCTTTAGTTTATTATATACGTAAGGGTAGGACGTGTCTTGTCTACTCTGTTTCATTACCTACCGATGTCAACTAAAAGCAAAACAGCAATCAGGTGTTTTGCTCGAGTCATCTATTGGGCCTTTAGTAAACATCTTAACCTTTCAGCTTAGCACCGTTTTGTTTAACTAATTAGTAACCACTTATAGTGCAGAACCCTCATAAACTAGAACAAATGAATTTTCCAGTAACGCTGAGATTGCAACAGTTTCAATGTCAAGCAAAAGTTCATAACGTTTATTCCTGCACTTGTTGTAACTCAATAAATAGGCATAACTTGAATTGATACATATTTCATTGTTCATTTTGATAGAATGAATTCAATTTGTCATTGATAAAAGTATCTGTCAATCACTCATACTGTTTTATCACTACATTACATATTTTCAACTTACTACAAGTTCTTGTGGGTTTTTTATTAGTGTATTCGGAATAATAATAATAATGTTTTAAATGGTATCATTTTCGCACCTTACGTAACACTTTCAAACAATCATAATCAATAATTTTATGACATCCAAATAGATGAACCTAAATATTGGGGACCGAAAATTTCTAATGCATTTCGGTTTCGAAATTTCTCGCCACTGTAAACACAAGTATATTTTATTGCGAATATTCCATTTCAAGACCAATGAGTCAATACCAAATGACCTAGATTTTTAAACACAGAAAACAATTCGTCACACAATCGTTCTCTATTCACCTAGATTGTAATAATAATAATAATAATAATAATAATAATAATAATAATAATAATAATAATAATAATGGTAATTATTATTACTATCATTGAAAAGAATACTGATCGTCGGATAGACAATCAACCGGAATAAATAAAGTATTGATTTTCAGTGTTCAGTGTACCTGTCCTTAAAAATAATCATCCTATTGATAATCAAATGTTTCATTTATTTTCTTTTGATATTTGTAAATTTTATCAGTATTATTATTACACTATAACATTGTATAATATTATTCATTTCTCTTCTACTACAATGATGATGATTATTATTATTATCTCAGTGTGATTGTAAGAACTTTTATTCAATGAACGAATGAAGACTATGTATATAAATACATAGATCTATCCATCAACATAGACATGCACAGGACGACATATCAACGCAAAAATCCATATGTATATATATATATATATGCGTATGGATTGTTGATACATAATTCTTGCATCTTCCTATCATTATAATACTGGTTATTCGTATATAATTATTTTATTTTCTAATTTTACTTAATTTCTGTAAAAAAAAATAATTAGAACAACACTAATATTTATTTTATAAATAACCGACAACAAAAAAATTAAACTGGAATGTGATATTCATGACAGTATATATTTACAATTATTGATTTGTCCAGTGAAATTTACCACATACCATATTTTTTCCCTACTGTTGTTTCAAAATGACTTATCATCAAAGCAAGTAGGAATCACATTGCTTATCAAAATGTATCATCAATCAGTGTCAGTGAATGCTTCACAATTTTATTGAATATTTATGCTAATTTAAAAGAGTCATGTGGAAGAAATGTTGTACTTTAGGCTGTATCAAAAGTATTGATCAACATCATCATTGTCATCGTCAAAATAAACAACATCAGAAGAATTCATCGAAGTGTAAAATAAATAAACATTCTTCAACAAATTTAGAGCCTAGTTCATCTTTATTATTGGTGAATTCGTCAATCACAAAACATGTCGAAGATAATCATTGTGTCAATGCAAAATGTGATCCGTTGACCGCTTCTGGAAGTTCTACTATGAATGATCAAATAAGTATTCAGAATATAGTTGACTGTAATGATCACAGGAGTATGACGACGTCGTCTACTGTTGCTAATACTACTACTACTACTACTATCACCGCTACTACGACTACAACAACAACAACAACGACAACTGATATGACTACTATATCTGCGCCTCCTGCCATGACTACTGTAACAACTTCAGATTTTAGTATAATAACTTTGATTCAACTTGGAACTGTTAGTGAATATAATCGTCCTTCACTACCGATTACTTTAATTAATAGCAGCACTGTTGATATTATTACTACTACTACTACTAATACTCCTATTAGTACTCATACAAGTGATAAAGATAATAATAATATTAGTAATAATAATTATAATAGTGAATCAAAAGATACAAGTTTGATTGCCTACCCTCCGTCTAATATAACTAATTCAGCTGTAATAATGCGTCCAAGTAAGCCATTAGCAACATTTGTAAATAGAATTGAAAAAGAGGAAGAAGGTAATAGGCCATTTAATCAATTATTTAGGCGATCGATTTCTAATATTCATTTTGCAACAAGTAATCATGCTTATTCTCATTGTAATCATCATCCTACATTTTTTTTACCTCGTACACCAACTGATCCGAACACTTCAAATTCAATTAACAATGATTCGTTTGAATCACAATTAATGAATAAAAAAATTCCTATACGTAGAGGATCTATGATTGTCAGACTGGGTCGATCCAGTACAGGTGGAGTGACTGTTGGTACCAGTACTAGTACATCAAGTACAAATGGAATAACTGGTGTTTTATCAGATTCATCTGTTGAAGGTGTGATTGTGACACCATTTGCTCAAGTACTTGTTAGTATGCAACGAATACGGAATGCATTTATCAGGTTAACCGCTGCTCAAGTATCAAATAGGTAAGTATTTAACATTTTTTACGAATTCAGAAAAAAAACATGTTATACTGTTTGCCATTGTTTAACTCATGTACTTCCGTAATGTCATGCGATTAAGTTTACTATAGATTATATGTGGATATGTATTTCTTCCTCAACTAAGAGACTTGTCTGTTGAATTATTATTATTATTAGCATTCGATTGAAATTTGATTCCTAATATGCTTGTGAAATGGTACTCGTCACTTTATACTAAAGTACATTGTCATAGTTTTCTCTTTTCAAGATTATATTCATGATGGGAGTGTTAGTGTCAATGAAATACTAATTACCGCTAACCAGTGTTATTTTTACAATCACTATCATATGTAATAATATGTTTTTATACAGTCGTGTTTATTAGAACAGGCTTTTAAACATTAATACCTGAAAGGATTCATCATGTAAACTAACTATCAAAGCGTATCGCTTGGATTTAGTGAAATTTGAGTTTAGTCAATCTGGATAATAAAAGATTAACTAGCCTAAGCAGAGATGGTTTCGAATTTCACCAAATAAATCCATCTATGTTGATGTGGAGTAAAATCTGGCTAGCAAGGGGAATCGAGAATGTGTGTTCGTCTTGCGCACAATTCATCAGCTATATTAAAAGTAATCTGCACAAGATGTCCATGTGATAATCAAGACTGATCAGATTTCAGTTGAAAAAATTATCAACAGTGGGATAATTCAAATCATATGAGATGGAATTTAAACTATCAATGGCTTATAGTTCATTGAATCGTAATTGGTAAAAAGCCATTTTTAGAACACATGAATAAACGTAATAAGCTATAATTTCTTGTTGATATGCAATTCTCATACCTACTGAATAAGTATCAAAGTTAGATGTAGAATATTTTTGAATTAATTCGGAAAAGATGCTAATCTAACACTTAGCAAGTAATAGAATTGAGCCGAAATTATGCACTTGCTGAGTAAACAGCACTTGACAGATATCTACTTATCTTACAATGTCAGCTGATTTTGAACGATGAAATTTAATAGTATCATGTTAAGTTTTTAAAAACTTAGTATGATTGATGGTTTTTCTTGTGCCGTTATCATATAAAAGACAGCAGAAATTGAGAAGGATAGAAAGTGGCAGTTTTTGTTTGAAGCAGATTCTGTCAAGTCTAGCCTATTTTAGTCTATCATAATCGATAATTGAAAAAAAAGAACTAAGGTTTAGATTTCCTAGTAGTTTATGGATAAGTACAAGTTATCATTCGGAATTCAACATAATCAGCTAGCTAAATATTTGATTTATGAGATCAGAAATAGGAGTTGAACAGTCAATTATTTAATAAGATCTCATAAATTTCTGAATAAGCTTTATAAATAAATACATACTTGTCTTTGATAATATATGGATGTCTGACAAGCTGTATTCCTTTTAGTTGTCGATTCGTTGTAATGCTGAATAGATTGGAGTTTCACCACCAAACCAAACCACGAAAATTGAGAGAATTGATTTAAAACCCTTTATGATATTTGACGTTGTCAAGGTAAATCTATTCGTAAATATTTGATGAAACTGGTATGAGTATCACTGATCAAAAATGAAAATATGATCAAGAAAAAGACCAATGAATAGTGACTTTTTCATTTTGCAACAGTCTGTATCTTTAATTACCAAGTCCGATTAATTTTATCATTACCACCCAGCTTTTCGTAGAACAAACTGAATAATTTTTACGTAATCTTAAAAAACTATCTTACTTTTCTAAATTATTTCAACATGTGAATATCGATCCGTAAACGTAATAACTAACAGATAAATCGGATTTTGTCACATTCGTCAGAAAAAAACGTTTTTCAATGTGATTTTCTCTCGATTTAAAAACTTAAGTTTAAACGCTATGAAAATACTAGGCATCTGGGTGAATTCGACTGTATGAATTTTGACACTTTTCTTCTTTTGCAATCGTATGACTTTCTCAGTTGAATTAGCTTCGATCACTAGTAAGTCCTAACAAATATGATGTGTATAACTAAGTGAATGTAAATGGAATAGAGTAAAGCAAAATGAATTACTACTCACAAGCCGATGTTATACATAATTTAATAATTTTGTCTATAACAAAATACAGAATTTATAGTAAATTTCAATACATATATATATATATATATGTATATATGTATATATATATATATATTTAATTATTAGTTTTATGTGAAACTATTGATCATTGAGTTCAGTTGTATGTAATTTGATCAGGTTGAATAAACAGAAAAATACATGAACTGTAAAACAATTATTTCATAAGAAAGAAGAAAAAAAACTGATCACAATAAAAGGCATATGAAAAATTGATTATTTTTCCCAGTTTTTCATTAGTCCGTGATATAAAACTTTGGACATTGAACAATCTACATATTCTTTATGAATAATGATTCAAGTAGACTTGCCAAAAACGAGCATCTGATGATATATTCTAGAAATTCCAGTGTGAACATCCATGAGCATGAAGGAAGTGAGACGAACATGATGATGGTAGGATAGTGTGAATTAACTTGGTTTAGACATATAAGCCATTGTATGCCTACTCAGTAGCCTATAGGTGAAGTACAGGTTATTAAACTTGATAAATTTGGATTTTATTCTTAATCAGGCTTTGGGTGTTAACTACTACAAATTCTTGTGTTAGAACGAAACATTTGTTTTGCGATTGTCTTCCTAAGGTTAAGTTCAGAATGAAAGCAATGATATCCAAGTTTCATTTTTTCAGCGTAACTGGTACAGAGAAACATTTAATAATAATAATAATAATAATAATAATAATAATAATAATATTATTATTATAAACAAACACTTAATTTTCATTATTAAGATCAAGAACTTTAACAGGTCAATGTGTGTAGATGAACAAGAACCTATTTCTAGGTAATAAATAATTAGTTTTCTTGTAACTTCCTATGAATAAGGTTAATCTTTTATTTTGAATATTATTAATTTCTGTAAACGCACGTAGAAAGTTTGTGATTCTTTCCTTTTTTTAAGTTCATACAAACTTTGTTAATTAAGTTGTACACATATGAAATGAAAAAAATTAATCAAACAGCTTTTAAATACTTATTTAGAATATATAGTAGCTGGGATTAATTTTCCGCCTGGAGCCCTTCTAGGATTACTGCCGGTCCCAAGCCCGGAGGAGGGTTGGGCATGGGTTTCGTGATCCCATTCAGTATAAATCGAACTTGCTAAAAAATCGCTAACCAGAAAAATAGTCTAATTAATTACGTCAACAGGCGTAATTGAGTATGAGTTGAATTCTAAGTGGGCTCACTGCTTTAACGGGCCGGGATTTGATCCCAGTGTGGACGAATGATCGAGTAAGCAGTGAGATCAATCTTCCTTTCGATTTCCCTATACCATACTTGGCTGAACCTTGCTCGTGCAACAGCAGTGATAAGTAGCCAAATACGGATTTGCGGATGAACTTCTTTCATGCATTCATCCACGCAGATAGATATGAGATTGAAAAGTGTACAAGCAAAATAAAGGGAATAGGAAAGGGCGATTGCGCCAACTCAATGTGATGAAGCATGACTAAGAATTTACAGTCAGAAAAAATAAGCGGCACACACTCAAATAAATACAACCAAGGTTTTAAGCCAACGGTTGAGAGGGTCAAAAGACTATAAAGGGTAATTACCTTGTCCAAAAGCTAAAACAAATCCGCACACATACTACAAGCGTCTTGTTAATTCAGAAGTGTAGTGTCAAATATGAGATATCTACTGTTTCGTTAATTCCCCTTACGCATATCAGTTTATACAGTTTTGTGAATTACAAAATGTTGTTAGTCTTGGCAGTTCGATTAATAATTCGGTTAATGAGGCATGCACTTTATTCCCTATTAGACCACCATATTTAACTTTCATCGATGTACAGATTCGATTGATAGTACATGATTTTAAGTAGTAACGGTAAACAACCTAATCAGTTTTAGTTCCGACAACAGTCCCGTCAGAAGCTATTTATAAATCGATATTTATAAACCGGTAACTAAAACTCATTGTAATGGCTCATCATGACTCAAACACTCATGGGCTGGTACACAGTAATTATCGGACTATAATAATACATGACAGGTTGCTCACAACCAAGATATGAGCACTGGAGAACATGATAAGAGGTTAATAATTATTTATCAGTAATTTGGATATAAAATAACACCAGTTTACGTGTTAAAAGGAAGCTTACAATATGGAAAGGATAAAAAATAGGTTTGTAGTGTATTATTAGTGTATTTTTTTTTCAGTAAATTAATTCAATTTTTTTTGCTTGAAATGTAAGCTATATATTTAAACATCAACGAAATTACTTGTATTTAGTTTGAGAATCAATTCGTCTATAACTTGGAATGAGAGTTTTCAAGATAGTATTAGTAATATTGTATATTGTAGATCAGTTAACAATTCAACTTATTGAATTATGTAATAAATAGAGTAATATGGATTGTTTAAAGCTACGGTAAATAAGAAAGTGTGTACTTGTTACTGAATATAAAATGCATTTATGCTACATGTTATTTAAATATATGAAACTTATGTTCAATCCAATTACTTATAATCAAACTTGAGAATGTTAACACTGACACTGTGAGTGATAAATGCATAGCACTACGTGACTTAGAGTTTTACATTTATAGCTAATCAATAATACACCATTCGAGTAAAGACAAAAGACATATTTTTTTAAGAATAATCAAAAACCTAACAAGAGCGTGGTTCATGATTAATTTACATAGATTACAGTCACACAACATTGAAAGTTACCATAACTACGGCAAAAAAAATTGTCCACCAGCAAACATTGATACTTATGTTTAAAAATTCGGTCTAAACAGATATTCGTTAAGATTGACTATTATAATTGCTGTGATGAAATAATTTGTTTGTTTGTCGAATTTGTTAAAGCTGAAGTATATGCTAATAGAAACTCATTACTTTTGGTTTTGAACTATGTAAATGCA